GGCGACGAACGACGACAAGGAAGACGACAATGATGATGATGATGATGACTACGGCGGCGACAGCGACGACATCGAAGGGCGCGACTGTCGCGGGATAAAGACAGGCCGGGAGAAATATCGTGGTTGAATAGTTTGCTTATTAAAGGCTTCGGTGGAGTGTAAAAATAAAGTAACACAGAGGAGGACCCTTTTCTTTGACCAGAACGCGTGCGATGAGAATCACTTCGCATACTGAGGAAAATCTGGTAATAGCCACCAAATGTTGAAATAATGTCAATCAAATGTTCGGTTATAACGTAACCAAAAATCATTTTATCTTCTTAAATATTTAAATGTTACCATTCGGTAATAACGGTAATATTATTAGGTATTTTGATTTTGATCAAAATAATAGTAGAGATACGACAGAATTAGAAAGAGAGAAAAGGAGAATGTCTTAACAAGAAAATTATTTATGAAGTAAGATGATGTATAAAGATATCGATATTACGTCTTTTGGAGAATTAATTTTGTCTATTCGACGAATTTAAACAAATTCTGAATTTATTCTGGACGCAACGACTTTCTATCGATTGTCGTAGGAGTTCGCGGAAACGAGGTGAAGAATTGCAAGGTTTTACACTAGGAAGCTCGAGGAGAACGGAAAATATGTATAAGAAAGCGAAGATGTCGCAGCTGGTTCACCTGAAAAGGTGAAAAATGGCTCCGCGTGGAAACTCCCTGTAGCTCCCTTTTTGTTCCATGACCTGAACTCGTTACAGTCGTTTTCTATCTTTCTTCACCTCGGAAACGAGACCGGGAAGATATCTAACGTCGAAGGTAACGGATAGCTTGACAATAGAATGTGTCTGCGGAGTCCTCGCCTGTGTTGCGTAAACTCTCCTGCAGAAATTCGAGACGAGTGATATCAAATCGTACGTAGTGCTCGATCTTCCGCATGGTTTCAACGCATCTATCGATTGGTAGTTTTAACCTGACTGGATCTTCCTCCTGATTTCTACGTGATTCAAAGGAGAAACAAAGCTAGCTAATACTAACTGTTTGCAATTCAAGTCAGACTCGACATAATACGTGGTGTAAGTCTTCAAACATTCGAATTTTTTCGTAGTGTAGGTTTTGGGATTCTTAATATGGAAAAGAATTATCCTTTGCAATAAACCGCATTTCAAACCGTTTTTACTAGTCCTCCTCTTATAAGTAAAAAAAATTGGATGAAATTAATGTCGAAATACTTGATCTTCGCTCATTTGCGAGAAATAATTTGAACCGTAAAGGGTTAACTTTTAATAAATCGTACAAAGTTTGCAAGAAGGAGACATGAATGATTCGCATTCACGAGGCGTTGACCGTTGCTTCATAATCTCTCCGGTATTACATTCACGATGATTATCGGTTTTGGTTTCACAGTGCGAGAACCGATGAGATCGGTATCTAGCTTTGGTTCGATTGGTTCAGGAATTGTTGTGAGTTTAGATCGTGTCCATCGAGATGGGACTTTATGTGCGCGTTGGAATGCACACAGGAATGAACGATTGACTTGGGTCGGTGTGGAGGGCAAGATGCCGATGGAACCGCGTTTCGAAAGGGGGCCGGCAAACGGTTGATCGATGCTTCGTGGCCTTCCCTCGTTATCTCACGGAAACTCGGTGCGTTCTATCGATCGGATATACCTTCCCGGGCCGTTCGAGCTTTTGGGCGCCTCCACCGGAGCGACCGAAAGCCTCTTTTGCTCCGGATTTCGCATGGAGAGCCTCGTGGAAGAGAGACGCGAAGAGCCGACCGGGGGGTTGAATTCTACGTGGGTGGCATACGCCGTCTGCTGAAAGCCAGGCTCTCGGAGGTGACCGGAAATTGTCGAGAATCTTGTCGATCTCGCGATTAGTTAATTAAACGCGACTTTCGACAGTGACGGGGCGCGTGTTATTCGAATTACGGCATATCGATTTTTCCGTTGATACCGTGTCGATCGGATAAGAAATTAAGAAGCTTAAGCGGCTTTCAGGCAGGTGTTATGACAGACAATCATCTGACTTTACTATCTCTCGATCGAATAATCGCCAGATGTTTCTATTTATAAACTTTCGAGCGATCGTATGTGCAAAACCACGAATATAAATTGCGCGTTACATTTATACTACACGTACTTTTACTTTTACAGTAACTTTTACTATCGGAGTAAAAAATATTTTTTAACAATTATGTTTTATTAATTTTCTTCTCGCAAAAGGAATAGTGGGCAAAAAAGGAAACTTTCGACCTGATCCTTTTAGAATTTTTTTGCAACTCCGCTGTTTGCTTAACTCAGCACGATGGTTAAATTAAAAATGTATCAAGTGTATAATCTTTGTTTCAGTGAGGTAAATATTTAACTATATTATTTTTACTATTTTATAATTTAAAGAATTTTTCTTATTTTATCTTAATTATTTTTTAAAAAATATGTTAAAATGTAACATTAAAAAATCTCTACTTCTCTCTCTTTTATTAAAATAATTATTTATTCAAATTCTAAATCGCGCGCGCGCGCTTTTTGTATTACTTTCACACACATACGTACTATATAAAAAAATCTATAATTTCGCCATAATTTAATTTTATCAATAAAATATGTGTAACACATCCATCGATTCAATTTTTGCTCAAAGTTTAGGGATGTTACTACTATTCGGACTGTTCAGAGATGTACCGAGATCGTTCGGTATGCTACCGACGACCCCGGTCGAGCGGAGAGAAATCTTGCGGGTGCAATGTATTGGACCGGACAGGTCCAGGCGCAGCAGCCGGTTGCGCTCGTAAAACCGAAAGCATTGTTAGCGGAGTGTCCAATGTTCGTTCGCTGGACGTTGTTAAGAGAACGAGGCAAGCGGCATACACGTCCCACACAAACAGCATTCCACACACACACACGACACAACACACTCACACGTACACGTACAAGAGCGAGATATCTCACGCTGCATCGTAAAGCGCGCAAATAAACCGAACTCAAGTCAAACGAGCGAAACTCAAACGAGAGACGGGGACACGGCGGCTGTTTTAGGTATTGCTGAGGGGCAGAAGGGTGATAGGATGGGGTGGTTTCAAAGTCGTAAAACCGTGTCGCGGACGCCATAACGAATGCAATGCGGAAATTCGCCGGCTAAATCTCAGAACGAGCGAAGGAGAGCGAAAGATTCCGATAGCGAAAGAAAAAGAGAGAGAGAGAGAGAGGGAGAGCGCAAGAGAGCGAAGGTTTAAGGCAGAAACGGAGAGGAGAGTGAACGGTCGAATCGCATGTATATATTCACCGAACTTTCTCGACTAATCCGCCGAGCTTTATGAAGCTCTTCTCGAGACGGGCATAAATTCACGTGAATCTGCTGTTATTGTAGACGACGGGGAACCGTATTTTCCATTGCGCGCATTTGCATCACGTTATTTTGGATTCGAGAGCATGATCGATGCCGAGAAGGAAGTGCGAAATCTGAAGGAGGAAAGATTCGTCGCACCTTGCGATATCCTTTATTTTACGAGAACCATTCGTTCGTTAATTATCTCCTATATTTTTATCACGTTGGTAATGCAATAAATTCGTGTCGTCTCAAAATGTGATTTCAAATCTCAGGGGTTCCTTCATTTCTGTGAACGTATTATTCAAATATGTATAAATCGTTGTGAATAACACGGTGTGCTTGATCGTTATAACGAGAAGCGCAAGAAGCAGGTAGAGAAGGCATAACAAGATAACAGAAAACGTTATAGATAAAAAAGAGAAAGAAAGGTTGGAGTTGAGGCTATCGTGACGATTGAAATTAATTCAGTACGTATATATACGGGGATATGTGTGGTTAAAAGGTGATGTGTAACACAACAGAAACAAAACGGAAGGAAACGGCTAGGGAACGGAAGTGAAAACGGCGTTTAACGGCGTGTTCTTCAACAATTAATGGACGATTGTAATGTTAGCTCAATCCAAAGTCCAAAAAGGAGGACGGTTATGCAGCACGTTTAAAGGAAGTAGAAGATGATGACAAAGATAGAAATATGTAAGTATACAGATAGATAGAAATATATGTATATATACAGGAACGAAGAGAGAAGTCAACTCAACATACGAGAAAATAATATCTCGCGCGGAACGTTCGTGTCGACGTCGTTCTACTGGTACTTTGAATTATAGTTTCTCAACAAAATTAGGTCAAAATGTGGTTGATATTAAAAACAAAATTCAAATAAGAGGCAATGAACCATTACGCCAATTATCAGAGGCGAAAATAATATATTATAAAAAGAATACAAAAAGATTTGCCTCTTATTTGAATTTTGTTTATAGTTTCTCATTTAGCTAAAAGAAAAACATTTCCGTAACAACGAAAAAAAAAAAAAAAAAATTTAATTGTCGATTTCGTTGATCATAAGAAAATTGCTGTTAAATTATAATAATACTACTTTTTATAATCTTATCAGACGATCTTAGTAGAGATTAATTCATTTGAGAATTCTACAGCGGAAAGCTAATTATACGTTAATTCTAGATAAAAGATATCGAAATTGATTATTAGATTACTATCGTTATTATAATGAAATAATAAAAGTGTACACATTAAAGAAATCGAAATACCTTCCTGTGTTATGAAAAATTGTAAACGTCATTTAAGAATTAAGAATACCGCAAGTGTAAGAACTGGCGGTATATAAGAATATATACTCGATCCAACAGAACGCACGTCACGAGGCGCGCCCGCGCGACGAAAAATGAAGAGACAGAAACAGAAACGGAACCGAAACGCAGGAGAAAACACTGGCGAAGAGGAAACGGAAAAAAAAAGGAAAAGAGTTAAGAGATCATACACTGTATCACAAATACATCGTGGTACCAAAAAAAAAGGAACAAAAAGAAGTGGAAGAGAAAAAAAAATCAGAAGGGAGAAAACTCTCGTTGGGTTACTCTTGGCACGCACGAAAAAGAAGAAAAAAATCTTGGCTCTTCAAGTAAGTCGTCGGCTCTCACGGGGACTTACCATTCTTTTTTTGGACAACGACTTTGGCGGCGACTTTACGGGGGTTGCGGTATGCCGAACGATCGGAGTTTTGAGTGGTAGTAGTAGAAGTAGTAGTAGAAGTAGTAGAGGTAGTAGTAGCATAGTGTCGTGCCG